ATGGGGTCAATAGCTCCCGAACGCATCCTAGTGGTCTTGGGGTCAACGGCCCTTCCTGATTCCCTAATGCTCAGTGGGCCTCCGTGGCCAGCTCCCAACAGTACAGCTTTCCCCCTTGACTCCTCGGCCTCCCCTGGTCTGTCCCCATCTCTGCCCTGCTTCTGGAGGACATGCAGACTTTCCCCCTTGACACCTCAACCTGTACCTCCTGGGTAGGCTTTTCACATGCTGGGTGGAGTCCCCAGCCTGTCTTCCTCTCTCCTCCTGGTATAGCCATGTCACAATTTTTTGTTACTGCTTGTAAGTGCTGCTTACTGTGGAACCTGTGTGAAGACAAGCACATTTTCTTTCTTTTACTTCTATTTCTCCAAGGTAGCAATCACCTTGTTCTCATTTTTTATTTCATTTCTGGGTTCGTGTCCACATCTCCAGTGCCCTCCATAGTTTCGGGAAATGCTTCCTGGATGTTTTCCACATGGTTGAACCTGAGGGGGTCCTGCTCTGTCCCTGTGGGGCCTTCCTCTAGGAGCATGTCCTCTTGCTCATGTGACCTATACTGTCTTGCTTATGTGACCCATACTCTGCCATGTCCTAGGGCTTCCCTTACCCCCTCTGAGCACAGGAGTACATGTAACAGACAATGGACCCACCCTGGCTCAGGTGATGAAGATACAGCATGAGCCATCTCCATTCCAGGACCCTCTACAGAAGCATGGGCGGCAACTCCTCCTCCATGCATGCAGGCCTCCATCAAGCTAGGCAGGGCAACCATGGTTCTTCTAGGTACTACATCTAGAACTGGCAACGTCCAGAGGAAGAAAGGGGCCAGTGACTCCTTAGGAGCAAGGGAGCTTTTTCTCAGGTGCCTCCTAGTCTTTCACAGTTGTCCAATCTTATTTTCAGAATTGAAATGCAGGCTCACTCTTAAAGTAGTCCTTAGACCTGAGGATAGCAGGAATGACTTGGATGGGTCAAGATGAATCAGGCTTGACTTTTGGAACTGGTTAATCCCCTGAGTTAACTTGTTAGGGAGTTAATTTCTTACGAAATCAGAGTTTTCTCAGGGGTGGCGTAAATTCTAGGTAGCCTATTATGAATATCAGTTAAAGATGAGGTTAAAGTTTGGAGATTTGGTATGAATGAAGATGTCTCTGTCATACCTCCACGTCTGTTATAATTCCACGAGGGTGAGGATTTTAGGTAGAAACCATTTTCACTCAGAATTTCACTGGAAGCATTGCTAGTTACTTGCTCCCTTCTGGCCACTCTACACTTCATTCTAAACCCACCTGATTATTCCTCTTCAGATAAGTTAGAGCCATTGCACAGGTTGTCAGTACAGGGCTGTGAGGCCTCTGGGTGGCTTCAGGATGTGAGCTGTCCATTACCATGGTGACGTAGTGGAGAAGAAGTCAGGAAGTCTAATCTGTGTTGTCTTGGATAGGTTCCCTGCCTTCCTCCCCCTCCACATGCTGATGGATAGATCCTAAAAGCAACCTCAGAGACCATTTATGAGCACACGACTCTTTAACCACTGCCTAGAGAAGTCTGCCTTTAAGACACACTGCTAAGCTTTCCTATAATGAGCAGAAACCTGAATTACTACTTTTACTGACTCTGAGCAGTGCCAGGTAGACATCTCTGTGATGTCATTTAAGGACATAGCTTGTAAGTGGTGACATCCTTTTCCAGAACTTTGCTATGAGGCTGTCAAGAAACAGGTTTTATTCATCTTCTCTTCATCTGGCACTCTCTGCCTCTTAGTTCCATCTCACACATACATACACACATGCATATACACCACAATGAGGGGTGATGGAGCACACAGCTGCAGAAAGAGTCCCCAGGTGATTGTGAAAAGTGGGTATACTCTACCTTGGGGACATGGTCACTGAGGAGACCACAGAGGACGACAGACCCAGTAGTTGTGTGCATGGTGTGTGTTGACATGGTATTCAGAGCAGTATCATCTTCCATGTTGTTGTCATAACTATCTCTGTCTATCTACCTATCATATATTATCTATTATCTATCTATCATTTATCACCTGTCATCTGTCTATCATCTACTATCTGTCCATTGTCTATCTATATCATTGATCTATCATCCATCATCTAACAATCATCTATCATTCGTCTATCATTTATCTATCATCTATTATCTATCATCTATCAATCATCTACCTACCTACCTACCTATATACTGCAAAAAATTAAAAAACCATCAGCAGAGAAATTTTTAAATAGGGGTTTGTGGCATTTAGTAGACTCTCAGAAAGTGCTGGCTGGACAGGCAGATGGACAGATAGGTGGATGAATCTTGCTGTAGAAAAACTGGCGTGAAGGCTGGATTCTGCAGGGGAGCCTGGATGCAAGGAAGCCAGTTGGTGCAAATGCAGTGGAAGCAGAGGCTGCTTTTCTGTCTTGAAGATGAGAAGAATCTGCTCCTTGATGCCTATTGCTTCAATGATTCTTGATCTTGAGAGTCTAGAGCATGAGACAAACTATTAGATGGCTGGTGCTGGCTTCTCAGGAGCCTAGAGCATGAGACACACTGTTCAGTGGCTGGTGCTGACTTCTTGGGAGCCTAGAGAGTAAGACATACGGTTGGGCGGGCATCGCTGGCTTTTTGGAAGCCTGGAGCGTGAGACACACTGTTGGGTAGCGCGTGCTGGCTTCTTAGAATCCTGGACCATGAGACACACTGTTCAATGGCCAGTGCTGGCTTCTTGGGAGCCTGGAGCATGAGACACACTGTTGGGTGCCAGGCCCTGGCTTCTTGGGAGCCTAGAGAGTGAGACACACTGTTGGATGGCCAGCACTGGCTTTTTGGAAGCCTGAACCATGAGACACACTGTTCAGTGGCTGGTGCTGGCTTCTCAGGAGCCTGGAGCATGAGACACACTGTCGCGTGGTGGGCGCTGACTTCTGAGGAGCCTGGAGCATGAGACGCACTGTTCAGTGGCCGGTCTTGGCTTCTCGGGAGCCTAGAGACTGAGACACATTATCGGTGGCAGGTGCTGGCCTCTAGGTCTTGTCTCTTCCCACCCATGGCCTAGTCCATGTCCCTAACTCTCATGGAGTAAGGGCATCCTTAGGTTCTGTGACAAGAATGGGCCGAGACCTGGCATCTCCACCCCTTGTCCCACACCATCTTGAAGGCTCTTCTCTGCTGCAGAATTCTCAGAGGTGGGTAAGGAACACTCCCTGGTCCTCTTTCACTGTTGTATACCAGCTTTTGCCTTTTAGTTTTTAGCTGATTGAGGAGTAAAGGCAGACACACTTATGAAGTAAAAAAGTGTATGAGAAAGAGCTGTTGGTAAGCGTATCATAAGCGCACTGGGGCTGCAGAAAGCACTGAGACCCTCCCACCTTGGACATTCTTGCAACACTGCAATTTGCTGACTATCATAATAAAAGCTACACTGCATCCTCAGGCATTCTCACTGTATCTAAGATGGAACCAAGTGTGGTGCTGTCAGTTGATGTTAGTTACTGCAGTTGACCACATCCCAGGCCTTTAGGCTCTAAGTTCATGCACGCACACATATGTGTGTATGTGTATGTGTGTCAGTCAGACGGTTCTTCAGTAAGCAGCCTCTGAGGTTTGCATCCAAGGATCCATTGTGGTGCCTCATGACCAACACCTGCAGGTAGCACTGGGCCATGGTGGGCTGTGTGGCTGTAAGGAGGCTTTCGCCAGACCTGTAAGAAACTGAGGCCAAGTGGCATTTCAGGGGTGCCTCAACTTGGGGTGAAGGCCAGGCCTTTACACCCTCTATTAGTTTTATTAGTTTGGGGTAATTTCCAAACAACATGAAACAAATTACCCCCAAAACATAGCAGCCTAAAGCAGCAAACATTTATTAGCTCATAATTTCTGTGGTCAGGAATCCAGGGGCAACTCAGTTGAATGGCTCTCCATTGGCGTCTATCGCAGAGCTACAGCCATGACACTGGCCAGAGTATCACTTCTAGGCTCCCATCAGCTCACACGGCTGTAGGAGGCCTCACAGAATCCACATCCAGGCTCACTTGTGACTGTTGGAGACTTTGTAGAATCCATATCCCGGCTCATTTGTTGCTTCAGAGGCTCAGATCCTCGCTGACTTTGTCAGGGCCATCCACTGTCTCCTTGGTCCTCTCCGTGGGCTGCCACAGCGTGGCACCTGTTTCCCTCAGAACCATCTGATGAGAGAGTGTGAAGGCCCAAGACAGAAACCAGGTCTCTTGTACCTTAATCTCTAAAGTGACATTCATCATGTTTGCCATGTTGTTTTCATAGATGCGCATTGCTGGGTCAGCCCTGCTCAGAGACAGGGAAGGACACAAGGGCAGGGCACCAGGAAGCCCGTCCTGGAGGCCACCTGCCAGCCCCATAACAACGGCTGCCTAACCGGGCTGTCCATGGAGTATGAACTGGGTAAAGCCTCCTTTAGCTGTGGTGACTCCCAAGGAGGCAGACACCAGAAGTGAGGCTAGCAGCCTCCTCAGATAGAACCCGCCCCTCAGTCCCGAATGGTGTCTGGGTAGACTGAGCCTGCCCTTCAGCTTGCACAGTTCTTAGTTAATCAGGACATCCAATAAACCTGAACATCTCAGTCTTGTTAAGCTGTGCAACATGTAATATTCCTCTTTTTTTAAGGAGAAATTATATTGTATCCGAATCATTCTGTTTTTTGTATGTTTGTTCCTTTTTAGAGACAGGGTCTGGCTGTGTTGCCCAGGCTGGAGTGCAGTGGTATAGTCATAGCTCATTGCAGCCTCAAACTCCTGGGCTCAAGTAATTCTCCCTTCTCAGCCTCCTGAGTAGTTGGGACTATAGGGGCACAGCACCACACCCAACTAATTTTTAAAATTTTTTTTAGGGATGAAGTCTCACTGTATTGCCCAGGCTGCTCTCTAACTCCTGGCCTCAAGTGATCCTCCTGCCTTGGCCTCCCAAAGTGCTGGGATTGCAGGTGTAGCCAACATGTTCGGCTAATTTTCTTTTTGCTATAGAAGCTCATTTCAAATTTGGCAATGAATCATTGTCAAAAACCTGTTACATAAACTAAGAGATGGATCCTAAATGTAAAAGCATTTTCAAAACAATATTTTCTCTAGATATGTAAAATGGGTAAAAGGAGCTAGCTGGTGTTTAGAAACAGTGGAATTTTTTTTCAGATTGTAAATTTTAAGAAAGTTTTTAGAACTCACACATTTTCTTTTAACCTTTAATTCATTCCAATTTTCAGGCATGGTTTTGATCTCCTTTTCTTTTTTCTTTATTTCACAGGCGAAGAAGAACAAGTCCCTGACTATGTCACTTTTCTCTATCAAATAACCAGAGGTGTTGCGGCAAGGAGTTACGGATTAAATGTGGCTAAGCTGGCAGATGTTCCTGGGGAGATTTTGGAGAAGGCCGCTCTCAAGTCCAAGGAGCTGGAAGGATTAGTGAACATGAAAAGGTCAGGATGACTTGCTGCTTTTCTAGTTCCTAACGAAAGCTTCTGAGTTGTCTGAGAAAGAGGACTGTCCTGTCTACTCATGACAGCTCCACGTGCTAGGGCCTTTCCAGTGTTCTGAACCATTTAATTGTGGTCAAGGGAACAGCTCTCGGGAGGCTCAGGTGGGCTGAGTCCATCTCTATTTGTTCATCAGATCTTTATGAAGGTGCTAATTTGGCTTTTTGGTCATTTCTCTAAAGAATTACGTTAACTCCTTAATAGGTACCAACGTATTAGTTGTTTAAAACATTCAGTTGTACAAAAAGTTACTGAAAGAAACGTCAGTGTTTAGAATCTACAGAAGATTTCTTTAATCGTATGTTACAATCCGAGATATAGTGATTGTGCTCAGAAATTGAGGGCTCTGTCAGGTTATGAATGAAAATGTCATCTTTGTGATCCATACAGCTTCAGTTAGATCCAATATCTTACTAATAAATAGTAGATTCCAGCTTTTTGTTTTTCCAAATAAATTATAAAACAATTCAAGCCCCCATCTACCTCCTCCCCCACCCTGCCCACTCAGATCTGCTTGTGTGCCCTCAAGCCACATAAGAAATCTCAGCTGGTGACCCATGATCCCTTTTTTATACAAGGATACACCAAGAGTACTCTTTAGTTCTGAGTTTCAGAATTGAAAGTTAATGCTTATAATGCTAGTTAAAGTAACTGGCCGGGTGCTATGGCTCAGCATTTTGGGAGGCCCAGGCAAGAGGATAGCTTGAGCCTAGGAGTTTGAGACCAGCCTGGACAACTTGGTGAGACTTCTTCTCTACAATAAATCACAAAAACTAGCCAGGTGTGGTGGCGTGCATCTGTAGTACCAGCTACTTGGAAGGCTGAGGCAGAAGGATCACCTAAACCCAGAAGATCGAGGCTGCAGTGGCTGTGAGCATGCCACTACACTCCAGCCTGGGTGACAAGAGTGAGACTCCAACCCCCTCTCCCCCAAAATAAAAGAAACAGGTTTCAACCTGCATGCTGAGGCATACTTGTGTAGTCGTTCCTCTACCTCCGCCTCCCTCCTCTGGGGTTCTGCCTGTTCCACCCTTACCCTGGTGTATGGTTGGCTAGATCCAGAACATGGGATGTAGCTTGTGGCACATAGCCTCCTGTTGACACTCAGCTGGCTCATGCCCACAATGCCAAATCAGAAGCAAATAAGTGGAATCTGTTCCCACCTATTTCTGTTGCAAGAAAGATTAATATAAAATGTTTCCTGGGAGAAAATGATCTATGAGAATATACAGAGATACAGTCTCACTGTATTGCCCAGGCTCGTCTTGAACTCCTGGCCTTAAGCCATCATCCTGTCTCATTCTCCTAAAGTGCTGGGATTATAGGTGTGAGCCACTGCACCAGACTAAAATTTTAAAAATAAATCTAACCCTTGAGTTTCTCTGCAAAATCTAAAAATAAATTTAATTCCACTTCTGTTGTTATCTTATTGTTATTATTCTTTTTCCCTGAAAAAGCTAGAATAACACTTTACTACAAGGAATATATATATACAAGATGGCAATAAAATGTGATGGTTTATACTTACTGCTGCTGTGTAGCCCATAAAGCAAGGGCAAGAATATTCACAGATTACTCACAAATATTTTAACTCCCCGTAGCAAGAATGTGACATTGTGAAACCTATACAATTGTCTTGACAAGATGAGACTTTAGAAGAGGAGGTTGCCTCAGGATGGACTCTGCCCATCTATCAGGATACTCTGTTATATTATCTTTTCTCTAAGAGAGTTTATCACCTCAATCCATTGCCTAGATCAGAGAAGTTCTAGTGGCCTACGCCTTGTGGGCTTGTCACCACAGTTGCTGCTTGTTGGTGGTCACAGTCTGAGCACTTGTCTGGTCATCTGCAACGGCATTTGTGCCAGCACCACGCTGATGTTTCACACACATGAGTCCCTCATGCTTACGGCAGGCTGTGAGGATGGCAAGTCAGGAACTGTTGCCATTCTCATGATAGGGCTGGGTACCTATCCGGGTCGCACGACTGCTGGTGTTGTCATGTATTTGGAACTCAGACTATCTAGCTCCAGGCCCTATACTTACCTGGGTTGCTGTTTTGCAGAAAAACATCAGTCTGTGTTATCCTGGCATTTTACTCTCATTCACTTTGTTTTATTAAGTCGGTCTCCTTTTCATCTGTGAAGCACCCACAGGCGTGTTTGGTCTTCAGGTGTACACAGGCCAAAGATGGGGGAGGGCAGCCTCCCCATGGGTATGGGGGCTTTAAGGGAAAGCGAGTGGCAGCAGTGGCACTTGGTTACGGCAGCATGTGCAAAAGCAACTTCCCATGATGGTGCTGCCACAGCTTCCTTCCCACGGAGTTGCCTGGGTTCTGCTGTCATGGACTTCACAGCTTCTGAGGAGACTTGTTAACTCATTTATTAAATAAGCAGTGTTTTATTGTTTCCCCCAGGAAAAGGCTAAAGCATTTTGCCAAGTTATGGACGATACACAGTGCAAAAGACCTGCAAAAGTGGATGGACGAGTATGAGATGGAAGAAAAAGATTTCTCTTCCCAATTAAAATGAAGACCACATCTTTGAACAAAACATGAAAAATTAAAAACACCAACTGTATACAATAGCTCCCAAGAGCGCTTTCAATGTATGACCTTGAGATGATGTCACGGCGGTGGTTGTTCCGAGGCAGAGGCTTTCTGAAGAAAGTCCTTCTCAGGCTTCTGTCCTTCTCACTTCTCCAAGTGTGGATGCTTTTTAATACTCAGGCGTCTTTTGTGTAATTAGAATATTTTATGAACAGTAAATGTCACATAAAATCAACACTGTCTAAATAAAGTCTTAATGATAGGATGTGGGTCATGAACTTTTGGAGGGTGATATAAAATCTACTTCATATTTTTATTTCAGTTCAGATGCTTGGCAGCTGGGTGACTCTGGCAGGAATTCTACCTTTCCATTTTAACTGAAATAATTTTATAATGCTACCAGTTAATTCACCAAGAACATAGGGATTTTTTAATAAGACATAGAATTATGAAGCTTTTAACAGCTAGAGCAAGGAAAGAATAAGGCCATATGAATTTGGAAAAGTTAGATATTGTCATAGTTTTAAGCAGTTTAAAGATTGTTGGATGAAATTATTTACTGTCCACTTGAGTAATAAATATTTAATGAATACCTGCTATAGATTATTATTATTATTATTATTGTTATTATTGTATGTCCTGCTGAACTAGGGTGTTTTCGACCATCTGGCAGTTGTCAGGTTAAATTATGAAACTGAGATTGTTGTTCTGACCAGTGAGTACATGGGACTGGGCTCATTTGTCTTGGACTTTTCTGTGAACCACAAAGCAGACCTGTGGTTTATCCTGGTGAGCCTCCTGGCCTCCCTGCTTCTGGAGGGCACTCCCTCCATGTGGTTCCCCATAGGAGCCTCTGACCTCCCTGCTTCCTAAGGACATTCCCTCCATGTGATCTCCCCTGGTCAGCCTCCCAGCTTCACTGATTCCTGAGGGTGCTCCCTCCATGTGGTCTCCTCTGGTGAGCCTCCTGGCCTCCCTGATTCCTGAGAGCACTCCCTCCATGTGTTCTCTTTTGGTGACTCTCATGGCATTGCTGATTCCTGAGGGTGTTCCCTTCCTGTGGTCTCCCGTGGTGACCCTCACAGCCTTCCTGATTCCTGAGGGTGCTCCCTTCCTGTGTCTCCCCTGGTGAGCCTCCTGGCCTCTCTGATTCCCGAGAGTGCTCCCTCTGTGTGGTCTCCCTTAGGAGTCTTATGGCCTCCCTAATCCCCAAGGGTGCTCCCTCTGTGTGATCTCTCCTGGTGAACCTCATGGCCACCCTCATGTGAGGGTGCCACATGCTCAGCTGATTCTGGTTTTGTGGCATATGCGGTCTGGCTTCTTGTGGCTTGTGCTCTTCTTGTTTCTGAGTATGTGATCTCGCACACCTCTCATCCTAGTCCCTGCTCATCTGTGATTTCTGCTTAGGTCAGTGGCTCCCACCCTTGACGGGAGTGTTTCCAACTCTTCCCAGATTATCCCCTGGTGACCCCAGCAGCACCCATCGTGGGTCACATAGTGTCTTGGGTTGGGGAAAGTGGTTTGTTGCTTTACAATTAAGTCTCCCATGCTTTGGTTCACAGCCTTCCGCATGCTGTGACTATGCATTTTATGTTCTTCTAACAAGATCTCAGAGGTAGAGCTGTCACTTCATGGCAGGCCAGGAGGGAAGGAGATAACTCTCAGGTATGTCAGGAGGAGCTGCAGGCCCAGCAGTCATGGTCATGTCCAGTTGGATATGTGGGGCCACTGGCCTCTGCTTGGTCCAGGTGGCATTACACAGCAGCACAGGGCTCCTGGCCATGTGAGCCCATAGGGTGGTTTCTCCATTGTAAAGCAGGCCAGGCCATCACAGGAGGTCACCTGTCCACAGGGGAGACCAGCCAGCTGGCATTTCCCAGTGAGGCCCATTCCCACAGATCACGAAGGCATGGGAGGGAAAGTTGAGGCTGTCCCCCAACCATGAAGGCCATGCAAATGCCCCAGAGGCAGTGGTGACAGTGCAACTGGGTGGGTTCATACCCCAGATGCTTACTTTAGACTGCATTCCCATGTTAGATGTGCCCGCATGTATGAGAAGAGGCCACTCGTTCATTGAGTGTACTGCACAGATCTGAACCAGAGGGCCAGTGTCTCCTGTCTTCCATACGAGGTGGGAACATGGGCCAGCTGCGGCCAGCAGTCAGGGAAGGTCACTGTTAAACATGAGGTCTCCCTCAGGTGGCTTGTCTGTTTTCAGCTGTAGAATTACAAAGAACTAGTGACTCCACAGCAATACATGCCAGTTCCTCAAAAGCCTAAATGCAGACTGCGCCTGTGGTAACTCCAACCTTGGGAAGAAAGCCAGATGGATCTGATGGGTCTCAGCCTTGACCTTCCTGTGGCTCATCTCTTCTTCATTCTGTCTATGCCATACCTCTTTTAAATATCCTTATAGAATAATGTAACTGTTATGATACAAGAATATGTAAATAGTCACAAGACTGAGACAAAAAAGGAAGGAAAGATGTAAGTTTTTAAATTAAATTTTATAATAAAAAAACTTCTCAAAGGAAAGAAAAAAAAATAAAAACTTAAGCATTTGAATCATTCCATCTATCCTGAGGGTTCTCAGTGCTGAATATTAAAATCAGATGGTTTCCTGCTCAAGTGTAAACCAACCGAATCATAGTCTTTGAGATTGAGACCCAAGCATGGTACTTCTTGTCTGCTTTATTGGCATAATTTGCATACTGCACAATTCACTCATTTAGAGTATATAATTCAGGGGGTTTTTGTATATTCAAGTCGTACAGCTGTCGCTACAGTCAATTTTAGAGCATTCTCGTCACCCTAAAAAAGAAACCCTGTGCCCATCAGCTGTCTGTCTCATCCTCCCCACACCCAGTCCCAGACATCCATGGTTACATTCTGTCTAGATTGGCCTGTAGGGGCATTTCGTGTGAATGGAATCATACAGTATGTGGCCTTCTTTGACATAGCATGTTTCCAAGCTTCATCCATGTTGTAGAATGTCAGTGCTGTATTCTTTGTTGCTGAAAACAATTCTGTTTTATGCACATGTCACATTTTTATTATCCATTCATCAGTTGTTGCACATTTGGATTCTTTCTGTCTTGGCTGCCATAATTAATTCTGCCATGAATGTTTGTGTACAGGTTTTTATGTGACAAGGCACTATATTTTTTTAAAACTTCCCTGGTAATTCTGATATGCTGTCAGGTTTGTGATTGCAAAAGACTAAGCAGTATTTTAGTAGGGTTGACAGGCTTTTGGTCCTTCTCCCCTCTGCTCTATCACTTAGGACATGCATGGCTTACTCTAGACTCTCATAAGTATTGGTTATAAGAGGGGGTGGGGGAAAGCACCCCATCCAGTTTGTCACCCTCTGGGAAGCTGCTTCTTTCATCATCGAGGTTCTGTGTCACTAGACCTCAAGGGCCCTAACTAAGAGTTGCTCCCTCAACAGGAGACAGGCATTTCCTCAGCAGTTTATATAGCCCTAGCCGGTTGTCATAGGGAGCTGGTCTGTGACTAGCAAATCCAGAAGAAAGACCGAATTGAATCCAGTGTGCTCTGGAAATTAGTGTTGCCCTTTGGTTCTGAGGTCAGTTTTAGCAACTGCCATGCTGTAATGGCAAAGCGCTCTTGGGTATTTCCCACCATGAATATGGAATGAGAAGGAAAAGGACAAGTGTTAAAAAGGACCATCTGTGGTTCAGCTTTGTAATTATGGCCAATTCCTCTGGGGACCATTGTAGTTATTATACATGATGATTGACAGGTTTATTGACAGTCAGGAAACAGCTAGGGAGATATCCACACTGGCTTACCTGGAACAGTCCTGGCATGTTTCAAAGTGTCCTGTTTTGGAGGATAACTTATATGGTCACTCCAGTTGTAGGTGCTATTTTATGGGCACAGTCACTGACTTGCTAGATTTTTAATGTCAACTTTTAAAAATCCATTTGTTTTCTTTACTCATTGGATGAACTGATTTTTTTCCCCCAAAGATCTGACAGTTGTTTTTGCCTCTGCCTGGTAAGTGCTTTGTATTGAGCATTTAGAGTCTACAACTTCGCTTGTCAGTGTGTTAGAGCTTTATTCCCTAATCTACTTTTGAGAGAAAATCCTGGAAGTTAACTTGTCATCTGCCATGTTTCCTTGAAGTAATGGTGACTTGTGAGACACATAGCAAGGCTGTCTTCCTGCAGAAATAATTACAGAGCTTGGGCGGGAGAACGCTTCTCTCGTTTTGTCCTTGGCTCAGATCCTCTTTTGCCTTTGGTGTGCACCTTCCCACTGCCTGCCCTCCCCCTCTCCACCACATGCACACACATTCAGAAGCCTTTTATTTTTTCATCAGAAATATTGCATGTCTTTTTTACCTCCTTTTCAGCTCTAAGCCCATTTTTCTTTTTATTTTTCTCATGAGACAGGGTCTCACTCCATTGCTCAGGCTGGAAGTGCCGTGGTGTGATCATAGCTCACTGTAGCCCCGATCTGCTGGGCTCAAGTGATCCTCTGCCTTGGCTGTCCAAGCTGATCTCAAACTCCTGGCCTCAAGCAATCCTCCCAGCTTAGCCTCCCAAAGCACTGAGATTACAGGCGTGAGCCACCATGGCCAGCCTCCTGTTTTCCTATAAGGTCCATTTTTGCTTTGCCCATCATGCCATTAGTTATTGGGATTACCTTTATAACCAAAAATAGTAAGAAGGTTAAATTTTTATTTTCTGATATAATAATACAGAAAAAACATTTGGGCCACTTCTCTTAGGCTGCCATCTTCCTCCTCCCACCTCTTCTGCCTCCTTTTTTGTTGGTGTTTTCTGAAATTTTCTCTATTATGGCTAAATTCTTCTCTCTAACATTATTTAGCTTCAGAAATTTATAGCAGTGATTGTCTGGCGTTCATACTTACCAAATTTTTTTTGGTGCTTATTTCTGTGTTTACCTGGAAATAATGCTCATCACGTCAGAACTTACTGTGAGTTTCTGCTCCAATGCATCCACTCAGTTAGATGGATCTTCATCATTTTACAGGACTGAGGCTGCTGTGCCTCCTGGACTGTCGCGTACTTGGGCCTGGCTGTCCTGTGCATGGACGGGAGGTGGAAGCGTGGCTTCTTGCGCTCTTGCCATTATGTGAGCTCTGCGGACTCCGCATCATGGCTTGCTGGCTTCTCTTGTCACTGAGAACAATGCAGTCTATCTGTTACTTTCCTTTATGATGCACAAATATTCCTTTTTTTTTTAGTTGAAGTCTCACTCTGTTGCCCAGGCTGGAGTGCAATGGCATGCTCACAGCCACTGTAACCTCGACTGCTGGGCTCAGGCAGTCCTCTTGCCTCAGTCTTCCAAGTAGCTGCAACTACAGGCACTCACTGCCATATCTGGTGTTTTTTTATTTATTGTAGAAACAAGGTCTCACCAAGTTGCCCAAGCTGGTCTCAAACCCTGAACCCAGGAAATCCTCTCACCTCAGCCTCCCAAAGTGCTGGGATTACAGGTATAAGCCATCATGCCCGGCTTATACAGATTTTCTTTATCATCTAAGTTCAGTAATCCCACCAGATTGGTTTCATCAGTGCTCACATTCCATCAATTTTTCTTGAAAC